CCTGGGTCCTGGGTCCTGGGTCCTGGGTCCTGGGTCCTGGGCCCTTCTTTAAGCCCAAGGTCCCTGGGGACCTGAAGACAGTGTGTGACAGGTGAGCGCGAGCAAACCCCGTCGCACGGGACTCCTGCCACTCCAGGCTGCCCGCCCCAGATCCCAACCTCGCCCTGGCCCAGCGGCGCTAGATTTTGGAGGAAAGAGAGAATCGAGATCAAATCGATTGGAGGCACCTGGCCCTGGCCTAGCTTTGTCCCCCGGAGTCCCTGGCCCCCGTGTCTCCCTCTCCTGCAGGCTGGATTATTCCTGGACACGAAGGTTCCCTTTCTCCCTGGCCACCCGCCTGCATCGGTGCAGACCTCTCCTGGAAAGCTTCCTCTCCGCTCAGACCTTCGCCAGGGTCCCATCGCCTTGAACCAGCTGGGAAGCAGCCTCTGCAATTTCTCCGACTGTCCAGAAGGGGGCAGTAGCGCCCTCCGGCTCTCAGGGCGACAGCTGCCCCGCCCCCTCCGGGGCTCTCACCGCCCACCCTGACCCTCCACCAGATGGTCAGGTTTCCCTCCAGGACACCAATCCGTTCAAGTTCCGGGCCCAGCACTTGTCACCCCAAACCCCAAGTAGTACCGACCGAGCGTGCTAACGGGTTTCCTAGACCCAAGCCCCGCCCCTCCGTGAACAGGAGGTGCCATCCCCCCATTTATCCATAAAAAGGGACAGCTCAGTAAGTAGCACAGAGGAGGGGCTGCTGATGGGGGTGTGAACAGACAGCCTCTTTCTGAGAACAGTGACTATCACAGAATATCACAGGCCCGGGGAGTCTGAGAGGACAGCAGGCCATTCTCCCGAGCGCCAGGGAGACGGGACACAGTGGCTGTTGTCTCGCCCCTAAAATCCCAGGCCGGGAGCACACGGGGCAGCTGCAGCCAGGGGCCCTCCTCTCCTTCCCCTGGGAACGGCACTGGCCGTGGGTGTGCTGAGCTTGTCGGCCCACCTCCTGGAGCCTGAACGCTCAGCGGCGCATCGGGAAGCCTGATTTTCTGGGGTGGGAGCGAGAAGCCTTGGAGGGACGTCAGAAGCCCCAGCTGCCACCACCCGCCCCAGCCCTCACCAGACCCCGTGGGGGACGCCGCAGAGGGAGAGAGGAACCGAACCTCCTGCGGCCGACCTTCGCCTGTGTGAAGCTGTTGCTGAGGACCTGTGTCTGCCATGAGCTCTCACCTCCCAGAAACCTTAACACCTCGCCAACCGGTCACGAGGTAACCGGTGTCTGCACTTACATTAATTTAAGTAATTTTAAGCACCTTGCTGACCGGTCATGACGGAAAAGTAGCCGGTCACACGGGCGAGTGCTGGCTCGAAATAGCCCACAGTCAGGTGCAGCTACGCGCCCCTCAACGCCGCGTTAGCCCCACAGGCCTCTGCAACCTTTCACTTGCATCTCTCCTTTTCCCAGGCTGCCTACGGCCAAGTCCTGCCCACAGGCTCTCGACAGTTTTCCAACTTGTTTTCTGACACGCACACCAAATCGCGTTGCACGATCCCGCTGAAACGTCTCCAGTGACCTCCGCTCACAGCGATGGGCAAACCCAGCCGCACACGAGTCACCAGCAGAATTTATGGAAAACGCCAGTTCCTGGGCCCAGAGGTCTGGGGTGGGGCCCAGCTCAACCCTCCCCCCCCAAGTCCGTCCTGATCCAGCCCGGGGGCCGGACAGTGGTGGGAGGCAGGGCCCTCATGCTGGAGCCAACCCTGTGGGCCCGGTACCCAGACCCTCCTCGCGGCCCCGAGTTCACGTCCGGCCACGCTCGGGCCCACACTCCGCATGCTCTTCCTCCCCGCCTTCTGCTCTCTTCTCTCCGCCTGGTCGCTAACGCTCGCTGCCTCCACCCTCCCTGAGCTGTCATCACCCCCAACCAGCCGGGACCAGGGCAGCCAGGGGACATTACACCCATGGACCTCTGCACCCTCCACAGGACCGTGCTATCGGGCGTTAGGAGCCCCTCCACGTGGATCGGCCGCTTCCCCGCGTCCGGACTTTGCCGGCCGCCGCCTGGAGCGCAGCTGGGACACTCAGGACAGGCTTCCTGAACTCGGGGACGCTGGTTTAAACAGCGCCTCTCCCCTCCCGCCAGCAGCACCCTGCTGCTCCAGTGCATAAAGGATTTCACCGTGACCGTGAGCTTCCTGATGAAGCTGTGGGGCCTCACTGCCCGGGACCTGCCGGGAGCCGAGGCGGGTTTTTGTAATAGGGACTGTTGTTTCCCTTAGTGTTGTTCCAAGAAGTTCCATATGTCCCCGGGTGGACCCTGGTTAGAACCGACTGGGACACAGGCCCCAGAGCAGAGGGACAGCTGTGTTCAGAGGGGCCACCGGCAGGGCTGGCCTCCCAGGACCGTGGCTCCATCGGGGAAGCGGGGACAGAGCGGCAGACAAGGATGGCACCTGTCAACATCCATTTACGAGACTTCCCCGAAAATACCTTCGAGGGCATNGACAGAGCGGCAGATAAGGATGGCACCTGTCAACATCCATTTACGAGACTTCCCCGAAAATACCTTCGAGGGCATCCGATGACATGCAGAAAACTGGCTTTTCCCTTCCTTCCCCTTCAGGAAAAGTTACAAGGAGCAGGGAACCGCCAGATACCACATAACAGAACATCATTTAGTGATCGGTTTCCTAAAACCATCAGAATGCAGTGAAGTGCAAAATTATACAGACACCATACGGGTGTCCCCCAAAACATACACACAGTTTAACAACTGAGCACTCACGTGCCGATTTAAGCCACTGGGATTAACAATTACTCAAAGTGTGTACACATTTTTGAGGACACCCTGTATACAGCCTAAGGCCCTAAGAGGCCTCCTCTGGTCTGGGCCCCCGGGAAAGGGCTGCCACCGCCCGGGCCCTCGGCGCGGGCGGGACGCGGCGGACAGCGGGCTGGGGGTACTCACGTCGAGCGACTCCAGGCAGTACCAGCAGAAGGCGTGCTTGCAGTTCCTGCACATCATCTGGGCGCAGCCCTCGTCCCGCTCGATGTAGACCTTGCACTTGGGGCAGCGTTTGATGGGCGCCTCGCCCTCCTCCAGCCTGAACCCCGAGCTGCGGGGAGAAGTCCCGTCAGGGCCCCACGCTCAGGGCCCGGGGGCTGTCGCCTGTGCCAGGAGCACGGGCTCACCCGGGGGGACCCGGACCGCTTGTTATTAAACGAGATAAAATAAAACCAAAGACAGGAAGACTCCGGAAAACAGTCACCGAAAACCTGTGGATCCATCAGTTCAATTTGGGGGAAAAGAGCGATTGTAGCGCCATCTAAATTTAGATACAGGGACAGACAAGCAAACAACACGGGACGAAAGGCTCAGGGGGAGGCCTCTGAGAAACGGGGTTACAGTCCAGTTTCATGTCCCGATTCACGCATTTGTACGCTTTCCAAGGAGCTGATCGTTTTTATCGCTTTACCACTTTCAGAGAAAAATAAATGTCACAAACCCACACCGACAGCTGGGTTAGCTCTCCCTGGTTTGTCTGCCCAGACCCGTCTTCCCGGGACGTCCGGCTGGGCTGGCAGGGGTCAGCACGACCCCCTAAGCCCGGGGTCAAGTGCTGGCTCGTCTACGGACTCGCGGCGTAATCACCGATTGGAGCCTCAGCCGCCTCCTCGGGCGAGCGAGGGAGAAGGTGCCCGCGAACCGCAGGGCGCAGCAGCCGGCGAGCGCCAGGTGCCTGGGAAGCGCGGCCGTGATCTGCGCTCCCACAAACAGGTCACAGGCACTCAGCTGAGGACCCGACGACGCCCACCCTGTGCTGCTGAGGTGGCTCAGGCGTGCGCGCGAGCACGTGGCCCGGCCCGGCTGGCTCTGCACAAACGCTCCCGTGGCTCCTGGAGCAAAGCTGGTTTCTGCAGACACAGAGTCTTCAGGCGCCAACCGCAGGATCAAGGCTGGCTCTCAGGTCAGGTCACCCTGCTGTGGTTTGAAGGTGCGACCTCAGAGTAAGGGACCGATTTTCTCACGGGGCTCACAGTGGTTTTGAAGGAAATGCCACACACACAGGCAGCATTCTTGGGGAGCGTCTCCCCAGGAGACTCTTTCTAATAGAAATGGCTAAACTATGTAAGTTCTGGTGCATTGGGGCCTGCAGAGAAATCTACCTGGATTAGACAATGGCTCTGACATTTCCCGGCACCTGGATTACATTTCAGGTTATCATCACTATAAACTCAGATTAAGGAAGGCAGATAGGAGTCTTGGGCAGCTTATCACCGTCTACGTGTCTTAATGTCTTTAAGAGTCAGACATAAGGTCCGTGAGCAGAGCTGGCCGGGTACTGCTGAGGATCAGGGGTGAAGGGGAGATTTAGCTTTCAAAAAATACTCTATTAGGGGAAAACAGCTGAGTGTACACTCCGTTAATAATGACACCTGGCAGTCAGCCTCAGGACCAGGGAGACAAGAGGGAGTGGTGAGGACTGCGGCAAACTAGGATAGCACACCTCTCGGGGGGGGGGCGG